CTCACGCGAGAGGAACAAATTTGTTTCAATCTGAACAAAATTAGGAAGGTTAGGAGGCTTAAAAAGTCCTTGAAAAACATTTGGCTATTCCTAATTTTGAATGACATTCCGGACAAACTATATAAAACCCTTAAATCACCACTTTGATCCTATTCTGTTGCTGATACTGTGACGGATGTATACGCGTCCTTCAACTAATCCTCTTGGGAAATCTTTGGGCTATCAATCACAACCCACCCTTTTGGAAGAAGAAACCGTAATATGCAGATTAGGTTGGTTATATCTAGTATAGGTTTTCTAGCTAGATGGATGGATAATTGGAGATTGAACATGGAGATTGAAATGCACAGAGATTGAAATATAGAGAAGCTGACGACAAGGAGAGATAGCTACTGATCAGGTATTAGTATATATAGCGCGTTTCGAGTATTAAATAGTTGAAGATATTTAAGGTATCCGACTGGTTGCGAAAACTTTTTTTTTTAAAAAAGGAGATACGGGGATTTTTTTGTTATTTTTAGATTTGTTTGGTGCATTTTGAGAAAAATGTGCTAAAATTAAGAAGAGAAAAAGAAATTATCATTACCAAAATGGGAAAAAATAGGTAAAAATTTACAAAAAATAACATAAACGCGGCCCATTTTGCCCCAAAGGTTAATGAACAAATTTTCAATTTTTTCAATCTAATATGTTGCTATATATTCAATTTTGAAATGACCTTTAGGATAAGAGATATTTTCTTTTTTACAAAAACTAGAGCACTTTATCTCGGTTACTATATGAAAATGCTTAAAAAGATAGTGATTATATTCACATAAGGGACTGTACATTTTGTAATAAAACAATGATTGATAAATCAGAAGGTTAAAACAATTCTACTATTATACAGAACTCACAGAAAAAATTTCATTTAATTCTGTTCAAAATTTTTTAGCAATCGCAGATCCCGTTTGATTATTTTCAAAAAAATCACATTTCGAGTAAAACGCGTTTTAAAGTATGAAACCTTGCTTAAAGTAATAACATCTGCTTTTACTAAAACACTTGTAGTTTCTGTTCTAATAAACGTAAAATGATAAACTTGGTATTTTTATAAAGCTAATAAGATGGCCCATAAAATAAAATCATAAAAAAATATTAATTTTTCGCAAAATTCACAATTTTAGGGTAGTCGGATACCTTAAGTGACGATTGGTCACCATAGCTAAATTGTAACTCAAATATTAGAGTAGTGGATTGATCCCATAAAAGGAGGATCAATATATATATATATATATATATATATATATATATATATAATTAAAGTCTTCTCATAATTCGCGTCTCTCGTGGTTTATTCCCCCATTGCTCTTAGTTGGAACATCTCTTCCTGTTTGAATACTAGAGTTGTGTCTGTTGATAATTTGTGTGCTGAATAAATAGTTGAAAAGTATTATGGCGAGTCATCCTTCCCTTCCTCCCACACCTCTAGCCGGAGCTGAGAATAGGTCACGTATATTACAATACTTTATAATAAGTATATCTAAAATAATATCAAAGCTTCAGATTCTTGGGTTTTTTATATTCCGCAGTATATTTATAGAACATCCATAAGAATAAAATTATTTGAAAAAAAATAATAATAGTTAATTCCCTTTAATTCCAAAATACAGTTTTAAAATTACGATAAACATAAAAATATTTCTTAATAACAATAGTAATTCCCTTGCAAATCTACATAAGTTCCTGAAATTCTTGCAATACCTAAATCTAGATTTATTTTTGGATGGAAGAGATTATTACAGGATAAAATACTTTTGTATTTCTCATTTTTAGCATTTAGGTTTTTTTTCCTTTAAGTAATTTATAGTGTTCTGTTTTTTTAATGTTAAAAAATATTTGCTTATTTATTTATTGACTTTTTTTCGTAAATAGGTCTTAAGTTTTGATTTTTAGCTATGTTACAAAATGTAACGTCATCATACTCCAATACAGTAAAAATTTGCATGTGTATCTTACATAATGCATACATGTAAAAGGATCGATATCAAATTCTTTCTGAATTCAGTATTCTACTCATTTTTTATTATTTTGAATATTAATTTATTATTGTTTTGCAAATTATTGAGATGGATACTTACTATCCACAATAGCAGGCAAATTGTCAATTGGATGAAATTGATTTCCATTGTCTTGAAAATGATCCACAGCTATTAAAAATTTGGGTTCCATCGTGTTCACAATATTTGAAGCAGCCTGTTATATCAATAATTACAAAATCAGCAAAGTGCATGAAATCGGAAAAAAACACAACACACATAAATCTCTGTAATATCAGCTTAGTAAAATAAAATTTTGTAATGCCAGTTATTAAAACCCAATTGTAATTTCAAAGACTTCAGCTTAAACATATAAATGCAAGAAGAAATTGGAAAAAAAAATTTTAAACTTGATAGCCGTTTCTTAATTAAAATTAATTATTATTTACTTTAATCGTAAAGTATTATGTAACATTAAACTATGTTAGCTAAAATAAAATAAATATTTAGCATTTTTAGACTTTTTTGATAATTTCTTATAAAATGCAAAACTATTGCATGGAATTTCGACGAGTGTATCAAAACTTGATAAATCTCACCTGAATAACTGGAAAAAAAATTCTCTTTCTCTGTTGCGTTTAAAAATTAATAAATGTCATATTTGAATTGAAAATTGACCGTTTGCTTGTGATTTAAAATGCAATTTCTCAGTTAAAGAGTAAGGAGTAAGACAAATTATTTAAATCTGAACACTGTAATCCGTCGTTTCTCAAACTGTGGGGAGCGCGAGCATATCGAAAAGTGAAAAGGAAAGATTATTTAAAAAAATTATTTTACTGAAAGTAAACAAATAAAATGCATTCTGACATAACAAAAGAATAAATATTTACACTGATATAACACACTTATAAACGTATCAGTACTACACACAATGTATTTTATAAGTAATTTAACAATACTAAGTTAAGAACAAGTTTAATAATTACCAGTGACCTCATGGACTCTTGTCAGATATAAAATTATATACAAAATTTATTTTGGTAATTTGTACGGTTTATAAATAATTCCTTAACTGCCTAAGAGTTAGGAGATTCGCTCCCCGATTCCTCCGTTTTCCACATAGGTGCTCGTATGGGATGCAGTTGGGGGGGGGAGAAAAGGAATAAACAAGGAAAAAGCAAGGAAATCTTGTGATATAAGTAATCCTTCGCAAACACTGTCAAGATCCTTTTATTGAATTACAGAGTCTTCGGAATAATTTTATGGATAGCAATGCACAGAAAAGATCGTACTTAGGAAAGACGTATATATACGTCCGGAGCATTTAACTCACCGGTTGAGAGGCGCATATATACGCTGGTGGCATTTAAAAGGTTAAATTCGTATTGAAGCTTTAATGTCAAAGTATAATATGATTGAATTCAATGCGTTGTTAATTGTATGGAGGGGGGCAGCATTGAAAATTATGATTGAATATTGGGTCGCAAATATTGAAAGTTTGAGAAGAACTGCTGCAATCTATCTAGAACTCAGTTATAATGTAAAACGTATGAGCAAAGTGCGCTCAAATTAAATTGATGTGTTCTTTATAATAATTAATTTGAAAGCATTTTAAATAATTTTAAGTCTAACTGCCCATATCACAATTTTGTGTGAGAATCGTACTCAAACAGCAGACCATTTTAAAATGAAAGCTTTCAGAGTATTTGTTAAATAGCAATCCTTGAATATAATCACTCTTATAAAGAATAACTATAAAAGAAAATGGTACTCGCGTATTTACTATCAATCAATTTCGTCAATATGAAAACAACATTGCCAAATGCAGCGATCAGCACCAAATGGTAGAAATTGTTCCCCTCGAATATTCAAATGGTATAATATTGTAAATGCATGCTCGAAAATAAAAATTTTGTAAAAATAAAAAAATGTGGTACAAATTTGTAAAATCTGTAGTAGTCTTTTCTAATTTTGTTATGAAAAATTATGACAGCATTTAAATTCCAACTTACGCAAATTCAGGAGAAGGCATCTACAAAGAAGAATTATTTGTTGAGGTTTTGAATTCAATTGCGTTGTTTTGGTCACCTAAATATTGTAGTTGTTATTAGATATCTCATTTATTTCAAGGGAACTTGTTTTCTTTTAATACGCAACCAGTTTTTTGTTTAATACTTTGAAATATTTGCCAATTTGTCTACAAACTTATACGGAAGAAGCATGCGCAGGAATTTGTTTTCCCGCATGCGTTGAAATGATGTGTTTGACTACGTTTTTGATTTTCCGATGTCTTTTGCGAAATTAATAGACGATATAATGTATAAGTACCAATAAAAAGTTTTCAACCAGAACATACGAAAGAAATAATAAAATAAATCTTATTGTTCTTATTGCTATGAATAGTTGCTAATCACTTATATAGCCATCATTATACTTACTCTTGCTCCGTAATAAGGCAATGGACCGCTCCAAACAGCTCCAATACTAGCTGTAGCCAGCATAGCAAATACAGCTTCTTTCCTGTTAGACATGTAACCTACAAAAGAAAAATATTTTTTTCAAACTTTTAAAAGCAAATAAAAGTTATATACGCGTGATAAATAGGAATTGTGCTGATTTAAATAGAACAAAGATAAATACAAATAAAATTAATTTAATTCATATTATTTATACCTATGAATTTAGAAAAGTATAATATAGCTTATTTTGAATTATTATACTATATCCAGATACTGATACTTACACGCTACTCTGTCTCCTATTCCTAAGCCATGCTTCCGAAAGGCAGCTGCATATAGTTTCACCTCGTTAAACATTTCCGCAAAAGTTACCATTTCATCATTTCCGAATTCATCTGAAAAAACGAAACAAACAATGCTTATTAATAATGAAATATGAAATGAAATGAAATATCTATGAGGAATAAGATATCTGAAGGGAAGTATGAAATGAAATACTTTTGTGCCCTGGTAATTTAAAGCCAACGGCTATACCATGCTGAAAACATCGGTTCTCGTCCGATCACCGAAGTTAAGTATCATTGGGCGTGGTCAGAGAGTACTTGAAGCCCTGAAGCCTTGAAGGCTGAGGGGTAGTGTATGGCGTTTCCCCACCACAGGTCCGGGATTCAAATCCAGGGTTGGGCAAGGTGAGGAAATAGTATTAATGCTTATCATTTGAAATGTAGGAAACTTTTTAACTACGTTATGATTTAAATTTTCCTGGAGAAACGTGGGTTTTCTTTTTAAATTTATATATAATGTGAAATACTTGCGCAAACTACATAAATCTTTCAATTATACTCTAATTATCCTATCATAATTTTCTGCAACAAAAATATTTTTATTCACACAATTCCCCCTTTTCTTTAAAACCCACAAACAATTTAATAAAAAAGGATTTTTGTTTTATTTTGCTCTTTTTTTGTAAAAGGTAAATATGTTTAAAATACCTGCGCATATAAGTGCTGTTCTGTTGTCCCTGATTCTCAAAACATTTTCTGCAAAGTTGAAAGTTGCTCCACTAAACCAATCGTTATCTAAAAATCCATTTCCAGTTTTCAAGAGAACCTACAAGAGGAAAAGATAAAAATCAAGCTAATCACTATTTTAAATGTATGATAACATTTTTACATAATTAGCAGAAAACAAGATATCAATCATTGGCATGGCCAAGTAATTTTAGCGCGTTTTTCACATGTTGTATTTTACAATAATGCAACTAATGAACTTTTTACTAACAAAAAGTAGTACTATACTTTAAAAAAAAATTTTAATTTAAAAATTATTAAATTTAAATATGATTTGGCTCATCTAGGGACCAAATGCGACCAAATTCCGAAAACCCGAGGTCAATCGGTTTCTTATTGGCTGAGAAAAAGGTACGACAAAATATGGAACGAAGACGAAATTTGCGTCATAATAGCGCTACGTGAAAAACGCACTAAAAATTAGGTCCACAGTAATTTGTGAAATTGTTTAATATAGAGTTAAGTGGTTGAAAAGAGTAAATATTGTTAAAAGGTTTGTTGGGGATTGAAAAATATTTTTGCTTAGTGCAATCATAGATGAATAGCAAACAAACAGATGGATTGATTTTTGGCAAATCCAGTCCACGGCAATAGAATATGCTATAAATGTTTCTGCTTTATACAGAGCAGATTACCTTTTAAAAATGCCAATCCTTTTATGAATGATTTTTTATTTATAAAGTGATGAGGACTTTCTAATGCATAATAATTAGTAATATTAATTAATTTTTAAGTGATTATTTCCGGCACTTCGCAAAAACTCACATATTTGTTGCTGCTTAGTGGCAACCTCATATCAATCTTGGAAATAAGAAGTTTATTAACAAAACAAAAAAAAACACTTCGACTACAGAATATTGGGCATTTAAATCCTTTCTGTTAATGATTTTAAAAATCTTAGCCGTTTCTCTTCACTCTGTAACAAAGGGCTATCCACGAAGTCTATCCTGTCTAACACGGGTTTTTTTTCCATCCAAGTTGGTACTTTGACCTAGAACAGCTTAACATGTAATGGGTTCTATTTGGGTCTTCTACTAACCCTCTTGGGGAAAGTATTCTTTAAATAGGATGTTAGTTTAAAAACCTCTTTCCGTAGAAACGACTTGGTTTTGTGCAAATATAACTGCTATTTAAGTGCCAGTCGTTGAGTATGCAAGGTAATGGTTAAGCATTGATTGTGAAGCTGAATTCCAAGAGTTAGTAGACAGCGAGTGGTGGTCGCACATCTTAAGATTAATATTTGATGGAGAACTCGTCAGAAAGTGATTAAATAACCAAACTTTGAGCTGACCGTATTATCAGACTTCAAGAAGAATCATTCAAGGAGTTTGTTTCGATAATTTAGTTATCTGATTTCGAGTTAAGATTTCTTTTTGCTCCCCAAGTGACGTTATAAAAGTTAATTTCGTATGGTGTTAAAGGCTGAATAAAATTAGTTATTCTAAGATCATGTCCGTTTCTTCCTCGCGACCCCCCCCCCCACACACACACGCGCGCGATCCCCGGGTCGCGACAAACGCCACAAATGAACGTCACTACTAAATAGCATATAAATATAGAATGGATAATCTGAGGACAATATTTCCACGTTGATAATGCCCGGAATGTAGTCGCTTATTCATGGATTATTGTCCGAAATTTTTATAATCGCTTAGTTATTCAAAGCTATAGGAGGATTTTTCTTTAATAAGTTTCAGATGCTGCATATAGTTTCAAGTAAGTACCCATAAATTCTTATTATTCCTTTTTGTCTTGTTTATATATTTTGTACTTAATTGTAATTATTAAATTAATAAAAGTGATTTATTGTGAAAGACAGTTTGTTTTTCTTTCGAGTACGATTTAATGGCTTCTCAATCCCTACTGCGTTCGTACTGAGGTGGGAATCTCAATGATCAGTGAGATCTCCACTTCACCTAACTCGAGAAGGAGGTACCGAGACAACTCTTCTGACATTTACGCTCAACGTTGAAAAACACGTGGAAGCGAAAGTAAAAACACTAACCGAGGAATTTATTGTCACATTATCATCGATTATCCAATGATTGAAAGACAAAGTAACATTGAATTCACAAGGCATGTTTCCTTTTCCATTGCTCTTCAGGTGAAACAAAAGCAGAGCTAAAAACACGTGACCTGCTCTTGATACTTCGATTACCGCCTATTACAATCGAACGTTTTTAGAAATCTAACTTGGAAGAACATTCTTTTCAACAACAACAAAAACATGAAATGAAGATACGTTTCCCATTTATCAAGGTTTGCTTTTTGAATGTGAAAAGTGTAAGGATGAATAAAATTACAAAATACTGTAATTTAAAAATAAATGTACTCTTTGAGCATTTTGAGTGAACAGTAAATATTTCGAATGTACTAGATTATTTTCCCCTGCTCCTCATATCCCAATGTCAATATTTAGGACAATGGGCGTTACGTTATTTATAAATTAAGAGATTTACAAGGTGAAGAGATTAAAGGTACTTATTACGAAGCAGAATTACAAAAAGTTGTCGACTCTGGTTTCTATCCTGTAGAGAATGTGCAATATAAAAGTGGAGAATTTTTTTTTCCCTTAAAAATTTTTTTACTTAGGTGAAAAATAACTTTTTCAGCAATCAAAATTTTTAGTCTACTATAATACATATATCTACACGTATATACTTAAGAGGATTGTAAAAATTTATTACTAAGAAATAACCGAGAAATATATTTATGAAATACATATATATCATAAAAAGCAGCAAAATTTATAAAATTTTCATTATATCTTACCTGATTATAAGGTTTTGATGCAATAATTCCAAAGTAGTGCCATAATTCTTCCCAGAAGTCTGTATAATTTTCAACTGACCATTTTTGGAATTCCCAGTACGATCCTGTAAATACCATAACTATTGTAAGATATCTGTTTAATAGATGAAATATTTTTAAAAAGTAAATACTTACGAATTAAATAGTGGTGCTTAAAAATATTTGTTACAGTTATTGCTAATGTTTAATAAAAGTTTTAAAAAATAATCTTTTACAAATGGTTCGCTTTTTTGGAGAAGGAAGATGGGACTGTTGCTTGAGATGTTTTGAACTAGTTATTGTTATTGATGCAAAAATAAATATTTATTTTCTTATGTTTGAATTATAATTGAATAGTATTCCACTTTAACTCTAATTCTATACCCCTATCATGATTTAATTAGTACATATATGTATGTATTTTTTACTCGATTTGGAATTTATTGAATTATACACGTATATTTTTAAATAAAATCCTATTTCGACTTTTACTATATACATGCATTTATGATCTTAAAATTACATGTACCGTAAAATCTGGAGTATAACGCATACTTATATTTTCAAACTGCGTTTTTTAATTTTTATGTATATTTGCCGTATAACTCGTACCCTTTTTTACGAAAAATTCTGGAATGTAAGTGTGAAATGCTATGTTTTGAAGTAATTTATATGAAATATTATCCTAAGCTTTTGAAAAAAATAGTATACTTCTAGACCTACAACCACTGGAGTAGCTAGTTCTGAGTGGGTCCCATATTAAAATTACTTCGGGGCCCTTTTTAGATAAGGGAGCCCTGTTAGTGGGACTGTAGCTACACATGTTAGGGCCCCTGTAGCTTGGGGGACCTGTATCATTGATACGGCGGTAGCTATGCTCCTGCCTGCAACCCTTTAATTTCATAAGGAATGTCCTTTCTTTTAAATAAACAATATTTCGATAGATGTAGAAATCTAATTTTTTTTAATTCTTATCTCTTTTTTTATTTCAAAGCTACCATTTTAATGTCCGGTGTATAACGCTCAACCGTAAATTTCGATCTTATTTTTTATATTAAATGTGTGCGTTGTACGCCGGATTTTACGGTATATTTTTTACCTTGACTTGAAAAACCATTACAAACCATAACACTTGATTATAAATAGTTCTTTTGATAAATAACTTCACACTCCCCGTAAAATAATCATTACTAATAATTAATGAAAGAACACTAAAAACATGGTTGTGATAATCTAAAATAAAAGAAGGTTCGTTTATTACTCTCACGGCCATCTGAAACAGGCTTGAACGCTTTCATATTTTTTGCTTGTAAAGGTTGTACTAATATTTACTTATTTATCAACTATTTGAAAGCAATGATCTCAAAACTATTGCAACTGATTAGTTATTTTTAAACTTCAAACAACAATGCTTAAACTTGCAACAGTAAAGAATCAATTGCTCACCTATTTTCGTAATATTCAGAATTCTTTACACATAAATATTTCGAACAAGCTAATTAAACCGTAAGGTTGTCTGTGAAATTTAAGTTATGGTTCAGTAGCAAAGTTCTAAAAAATAATTAAATGGAAAAAAAACCGTTTGGTTAACATAAGTATCACACGTTTTAAAGCTTATTTTTTACTATAAATGATTGTTAAGAGCTGTTAACTACATTCATCTGAGAAGCTTATCCCTTAATTACTCATGACTTGTTATTTTGTGCTCTAAATAGAAAACATTTTATTATCGCTAGTCAACCACAA